GGGGATTGGGCATGAGGGCACTGGGAGGGGAGGGTTGGGGGGGGGGGGAGGATAGATTTTCACGGCGCCCCTGTGTGATGTGCCGCGTCAAGGTGCGAACACAAAAGAGCGGGGAGAACGGATGATGAACGTTTGAAAGAGATACGGAAGTGAATAAGAAGCAAGAAAGGACAAAAAAGGCTATATCCACCGGGACTGCTTCTCAAAAGAGGGCGTCAATTGTCGTGTGTCGTCATCGGCCCACGACTGTCTTCTCACGAAACAACAACGACCGGACGAACAACAACAACAGCAACGGCAACAACAACAACTAGGGCATATCGAACTAAACAATCTCGGCAGCCCCACCCCCTGTCTCATTCCTTCTCTCTATATGTGTGTGTTTGTCCCGTCCATTCTGGCGCCGGTTTACAGGCCTTTCGGCGTATGTATGTATATACCTGCCGTATCAGCTGGGGTCACACAACACAAGAGGAAGGTCACACAAGATGTATATTATATGGTATATATCACGCACACTACAGGCACACGTATCTAGCCCCTCTACAAGACTGACATCGAACCACTTGGTAAGCTGGTTAGCGCGGTCGTCGATGCTAGGTCGAGAAACAGACAAACACGCACGCACCTGTCCTGGTAGATGTTAACCCTCGAAATCTCGCACGCGAAGTGGCTCTTGAGCACGATCCGCGACCCGCTCGACAGGCGCTTCACGATGACCTGGCTGAGACTCACGTACGTCAGCTCAAAGCGCCCCTTGTACCTGCAACACAATCGTCGTGGGGGGAGATACGATAACAACAGTTTGGGGGGAGTTGGTTGAGCGTTTCTCGAGAGCTGTGGCAATGGGAGCGGGGAGCATGAGGGGAGGAAGGGAGAGGGTGTGCTGGGGTATGATTTCCTTTTCTTGTCAACCTGAACCATTGACCGCGCATCCAACCGTCGAAATCGTTTTGCCTGTGCGTACATACAAAAAGACAAGCCATGCCTTGGCCGAACGCACCGGTTCAGCGGTCCCTTTCGCTTCCTCTCGTGGAACACGGCAACGCTGGGAGAGGGGAAACTGTGCAATAGCTCTCGCAGGCAGGCAGGCAAGCACACGCGCACACACACGAAACGTTGCGCTTTCTGTTCTCTCGTCGGTTCTTGTCTTCCTTGTTGCGCACACACCTCGTCCGTTTGACGCACGCGTCGTAGACGTCTACGGAGCCGCAAAGGGAGCCGACGGCGAGACGGGACCCGTCCGCCCGCCAGCCGAGCGCGGTGACGGTGTACATGTTCTCCACGTTGCGGACGCCGGCTTCTTCCCAGGTCCCCGCCCTGCCTCGCCGATCGTTACCACCCAAACAAAAAGGAGCATTAGCATTGTAATGCTTTGTTGTGGTGCGTCGTGTGAGATTGCTTAGGTTTGTACCACAAGCCTTCGTCGCGGTCTGTTTTGTGTGTCGAAGAAACCAGTCTTACCGCGAGCAGGTGACGGTTGTTGCTGTCGCCGCCGAGGGGAACAGGTGACGGGGATTCAGTGAGGGATACATCACGGATTGAAGGGACAACCTAAAGAACGTCATCGTCTTCTCCGCTACGACTATCGCACGCCAGGTATTCGCATGAGAACAATGATGAATGCGCGAGGAAGGACACCGATGACGCCCATGTTTCTTGACACATGCACCATTCGTTCCCTGTCCCGGCTCTGTCAACGGCAAGCGGGTAGGCAGCTCGACACATCAACCTCGCCGGATTTAACAATGCTTGGCTGGATTCCCCTACCGCGCAAGATGGCAGATGCAACAGCGCTGGAGAGGCGTTGATCGCCCGGCTAGCCCTAGGCATCAAGCCGCCACATAGGAATTTCTATTGACTTGCGGACCCCTCGGGGCCAGTTTGTTTGAGCGTACCGTTTTAGGGTAAGTTAGCCTGTGACCACGGGAATCGACCGCGTCAAGTGTTGGATCAGTACGGACATATGAAGGTACTGGGTAGAGAGAGATCGGAACGGTTTTTAATGTGAAGACAACAACAACAGCAACAACAATAGTCCTAGAGTTCTTCGTTCTCACCTGTGGCTGTGGGCGAAGACGTGAAAGCTGTCGTAGTTGCCCAGCACCACCGCGTCCCCCGTAGGGTTGAACGCGGCCGTCGTAAACTCCCGGCAGGACGGGTCCGACGAGTAGTCGAACGTGCGCTCCATACCGCCGTCTGCGTCATAGAAAACCACCTGAACCGCCAACGAAAGACATGAAGTCGAAGCTGAAACTTATCACGCCCAAAGGTTGAGAGATCAAGATGGCACGAGGAAAGACTGAGGAACAAACGAATGAAACAGAGGTATGCAAAGCGGGGAGCGGAAAGAATGGTTGTTGGCTCCCCATGCCGCCCGCCGTCATCTGCGCCGTCGAAAAAGCACGCCATTTCGTAAGAGAGCGACCCGCTGATGCGGGTGTTAGCGTACACCCGGTGGGCGTATGTGTAATGGGCTGCACATTTCGTGGGGAGTGGACAGGTGGGGGAGGGGGGTATTGGCGTGTCGTGGTCACGTTGATCGATCAGCAGCAACAACAGACATCAACAGCCCAATTGTGTGTTCGGCAAATACGTGTAACACAACACCAAAAGGCGTACTGGATGTCCGTGGTGGTAAATAGCAGAAACGCTGTATGTTATGTAGGGGCGGCGAAACAAGCTCGGAGGGCAATAAAGGCAAAAGTTTCTTAACGTGAAGTACCCATAGATGGTTGAAAAACAATGACGAACAGGGACGAGCAGGGGTAGAACGACGCGATTGATTGCGCATCATACATACACACAAACCGGAGACTAGCCTAGCCTCCCACAGGACACCCCCTCACGGGGTTCCAGACCATGGGTGTTTACGAGCGTTTAAGCCATTTTCGGCCGCATTGAGGCTGACGTGTTTTCGTTGGTCGGCCGGTTAGCGCGGTACGGTATGACACACACATACACACCTGGCCGTCGTTCCCCGCAGCGACAATGCTGAGGCCCCAGCTTAGCGCGTATGGCACAGAAGGGTGTATGACGAGCTTCGTGTGGGATGGAGCGCCTGCGTCCACCGTGCATGCATGCATACGTGAGTGACAAGTTTTTTTAGTAAACAAAAAAGGTGGCACCAGAAGTTTGATGAAAGCACAGCATACCCCCAATCTGATATCGACTCGTGCAACGATGTATCCTGTCTCGACGTTGTCGGCTGTGAGTTTGTTTTGTTTACTTTCGGCCTTGTCTGTGCAAGAGGTGTGGAACACAGCAGTTCGATAGGCCCTGTTTCGCGAAACGTCCATCATCGTAGGGGAGCGAAGACATCTGACCGGAAACAAGCATCGTGTTGATTTCTGCCGAAAACAAAGCGTGGCAGACTACCTAACTAAGCAGGCGCACGCACAGGCGTTTTTCCGATAGGGATTTTGAGAAAAACCCACCGTTGTCGTCGAAGAGAAACCTGTAGAGGGTCCCGTCGGCGTGGGCGGACACCACTCCGTTGCCGTCGGGGCTCGTCGCCAGCGCCGCGCAGAAGCTGTCCACGTTGTACAGCGTCGCGGGCCTGTTGGACTTGAGCTGCCCGATCTTCACCTTCCCCTCCGCCAGCCCGAAGACGACCTCGTTGGGCCTCGCCTCCGGCCACGACATGCACGTGATCGGGGACGGCTGCGGGAACTTGTTGCAGATGCTCTTGCTCTGCTCAGTTTGGAGCGGGGTAGGAGCGAGGTGTGGTGGGCGGGGTGCGTTCAAGGAGAGGTCGAAGGGGTGGCGTGATTCAAGGCGCCACAGGAGAAGATCTCATCCGAGGGGAGACACTTGCAACAACGACGACGACAACCACAACGAAGACAGAGTTTTCCCTTAGGTGCCGGTTTTCAGCAACAACAGCGGATCACAGCTGCAGTAGTAGTCCATGGAAGACCATGTAAAGACAAATCAACCGTATTCAGCATGTTTTGGGGCCCTGCAGAGGGTGGGTACAACCTCTTTTCGCTCCACAATACCCCAGACGAGACGGGCGAATACAGGCAGTACCAAGTGGTGATGCACGCTTCTCATTGTGTCACTAGGCCAGACAGACGTGTACCTCGCCCCACTCCAGTCCGAGCTTGTAAACGAAAACGATGGAGTCGCTCTGCGCGACGGCGAGCCTCGTGCTGTCGGGGCTGAAGCACAGGTCTCTGACGATGTAGTTCTTTGGGCCCTTTTCCGCTGGCTTGGTGGAGAACCTGTCTCGCTTCTCCCCGTTCTCGTCGTACAGAGCAACCACTCGGTCGGCCTTGTATCGGAGAGGGCGAACGGGGCCGCGGGCAAGCGTGGGGGGCGGCGGGGGGGGGGGGGGGGATAAAAAATGCTGGGGGGCGTACTTGCTTGCAATGATGTAGTTGGCCGAGGCTTCCTTTCGTCAGAAACAGACAACCGTGCCTATTCTTCGGAAACGTGAGCCACTTCTTCCTACTGTAGGTTGGAGGGGAGAGAGGCCCGACGGCATGAAATCGGTATCACCATCTGACCCAAGAGGAATCGACTCGAGATCCCTTTTTTCTGGGTGCCTGACGGTTCACACCTAGTCTTCGTATGGGTCGGTGCCCACGTCCCGTACTGCTTTCACCTCGCGTGCGTACAACGGCAGTAGTGCCATTTACCGTGTGAACATGTTGGAGGGCATGATTGTGTGAGGATTGTCACGAACAGGCTACTGTAACCTCACTCATGCCGCCTAGCATCTCCCTCAGGGAGTCTGTAAATAAACCGACGTGTTATAAGTGTTTGGCATCGATCTACATACGCCTCAGGTCTACAGTATTGGGTACTTCGTACTCAAGTAGAAGAAGTATGCAGCAGTAGTACATGCACCATGCAGTACACCGTCCGCAGAGTCAGTACAAAAGCCCAAGTGATACCGAGGTTAACATTGAAATGTACACTGGTACACCGCGCGATGGTTGTTACCCTATCGTCTATCGTCTCATCCAAGTCTTACATCTTACCGCCAGCGAGACCCTAACCCACGATATCACTCACCGTGCACACCGCCAGCTTGCGGTTGTTCGGTGCCCACGCCACAGCCATGACCTTCGACATCTTGGCGCCATCACCGCCCTCGCCCGTCGCAGGCTGTATGATCGTGTTCAGATGCCGCAGCTGCATGGTGGAAGATCGGATCTACCTTTCGAACCTCCCGCTCTGTTATTGTATCTTGCTTATCCTCTCCTCTTGTTGTTGCTGTTTCCTCTACGAGCAAATATCTCCCTGGATAGAGATGCAATGCCCGTTGACTTGCTTCCACCCTCTCCGACTCTTCCGAGCACGATGGATCGCGTTGTTCAACAGCAACTACAGCAGCAGCAGTATTACTGTAGCTGTCCGCCGTCGCGTATCAAAAGCAGCTGTGGTATACGTGCGTCTGCTGTGCTTCTCGTCTGCTGTGCTTCTCTCCTCTTCCTCCCAGCAGCCGGTCCGTCCGCAAGAGGAAATCCAACTTTCCGCAGTTGCTCTTCCTCCCTTTCGGTCCAGCTCTGTCCTTCTCACATACGCCGCACACACACACTGAAAGACACAAGTTTTGTACGTAACGGTTTTACAGCGTACACCAACCCACTACTGCACGTAAGAGCAGGATCTCTGGAAGCTAAGATCTTCTCTGCCGAGGCAATCTCCTGGCAAGCGGTGTTCACCGACGGGGTACGAGCACCAACCACCCTTGCAAGAAAGGCTAACACTCCGCTCAAAAGATGCCTGTGGCCCCATCGAGAGAGCGAGCAACTACTGCCTGCTGCTGGACAACGTAGACGAAGAACCAGGGGACTCACGAATGGAACATTTAAGTGCAACCCCCCCCCCCGGCCCTCACGCGGACGACTAGAAACTCCATCTTTGGTACCCCTCGCGGTCACGTTTTGTTCTCTGTGCATGTCAAAAATTTGTCCGGAATTCTACTTACTCCTTTGCAAGGGATGCAAAAATTTGTCCGGAATTCTACTTACTCCTTTGCAAGGGATGCGCAACATGCTACTGTACCTAAATCTATGTAGTGGCTGGTTACGTTTTTACCTAGTGGGTCATTGTACCAATATTTTTCTCTTGGACCAAAATAAGTGGGAAGTGCACCCAGACGCCCAGCGCGATGATTTGATTCTGGGTTAGTCCCGTGTCCTGAGAGAGTTTTGTGAGAGATATCCAAAACATGTCATCATCTTCCTCTTCCCCTTGAATATTTGTCAAATAAATACTGTATGTACCTGCTGCTGTCCGTAATATAAGTGACAAAAAATAATACCAAGTTGTGTTTTGTTACAGCGACACGATGTTTGTATGGTTGTTCCTGACGGAGAAGTTTTTTGTTGTTGTTGTTGTCTTCACATTAAACCGTTCCGGTCTCCACTCAGCACCTTCTAATGTCCGTACTATACTATACTATACTATAACAGTACAACTGACGCGAACGCCTTCCGTGGTCACAAGCCAACTGTATTTCAACAAACCTATCACGTCCCAAAATGTTCTGTGACTAACGGTGCGCGTTACGTCCAGCTGGAACCACAACATACAGTGCCAACCAATGCTTTGTTGGCCTATATGAACAGCACACCATGACAGGTCGCAGCGTCATCCGTGTGCTCGGACCGTCCAAATCAGGTCAAAACTGTCAGTTATTACCTCGATACAGTCACCCCATCAATCCTTCATCATGCAATCGCCGATTGTGCAATCTCTCTCTCTCCCACGCCCCTACCCGAGAAGAGAAAAGGACAATCGCCCCATGGAACGTCCCAGGAGACAGGGAATCAAAAGTCAACCTTGTTCACCTGCAGGTCCAATAGCCAAATGCTCTTTCACACAGCGACAGCAAGTCAATATTTAGCACCCGCAACAACAGCAAAACCTAAATGCATACGATCCACCTCAAAATTTCGATGTACATTCACTTGGCTAAACGCAACACGGAGTCTGGCCTCAACGGGACAGAATAGCAAGCGGCGAGGGAATAACAAGGTCGGGTTGACCCTCCGTCTCTCCCCCTATCGCAAGCAAGCGAGTTAACCACCCGACTCCGAACCACATTGGCATACGCAACGACCGCACGCAGTGGCGGCGGGGTCGGTAAGTACCCTCCTTTCAAGTGATACACCCCTACGATCCGCTCCGCACAGTAGTGGACGAAATGCACGCATACGTCCATTCCCCCCTTACGAGACTATTGGGCTGTGTCGGAGAATACCCACGGGAATTACACTAACAGAGTCAGTGTGCATACGTCCATTCCCCCCTTACGAGACTATTGGGCTGTGTCGGAGAATACCCACGGGAATTACACTAACAGAGTCAGTGCGCATACGTCCATCCCCCCCTTACGAGACTATTGGGCTGTATCGGAGAATACCCACGGGAACTCACACGAACAGAGTCAGTCCTACGTTGTGGACGAAAAGGAGAAGACAGAGACGTCAACGAAGACGACCACAACAACAACAACAACAACGACAACGACAACAGCAACAACTAAAAAGTACACTCTCATCACACCAGCCAACAAGGCTGCACGAAAGCCGCCTCTTGTCAACGGCGGCAGACAAAACGACAACAACTTTTAATAATAATCTAAACAAAGGAGTGCAGTCACAACCTCTCTCTGCCTTTGCGCCCATCTGGGGTGCTCGACAGGCCAGACGAAACCTGGCTTCACCCCCGAGCCCAAGCCATGGTTTCCGAGAGCTACAACTTGCACCAAAACACGGCCGGACAGCGCTCCACCGTAGCAGAGGCGAGAGGGATCATACTATTATAGCCAAACACATGCACGCGCAGCACCACCTGTTCATCACCAAGGTGGAAATTCCCATTACCTACACGATTTCGGCGCCCCGCACGTTTCCGTCACCGGCAACAACCAACCGACCGACGAAAAAGGACGAGCTCACCAAAACCGAAAATATTGGGACTATCATACCAACCATCGCAGGTTGTCTCAAATAGTAACCCCCCCCTCCTCCTCCTCCTCCTCCGCCTCCCCTGCCCCCTCTTTCTTCCCCGCCTTCCCGGCCTCTTCCACCTCTGGGTCCCATGCCGCCGGCGCCGGCGCCGCCGCCGCCACCGCTCCGGCAGCCGCCCCGACCCCCCCTGTTTCGACCGCCCCCGCAGGGGGGGCCGCGTTCTTAGAAGATTCCAGGCACCTGCCGGCGCAACAGCAGCAACGGAGGCGGCAGGGCAGCAACAGCAGTAGCAGCAAGCGGGTTGCGGTCAAGATACAGGGAGGGCGGTACACGTGGGAACAACAATCAAAAGTGATGGGCGCCACAAAAAAAAAAACACGGTTTTGGGTCGGCGTTTGTTTATAAGAGTGCGCATAGAAGTTCGGCTGGTAGCAGCGATGATGGTACGCAACGAAGAATGTTGTAGTTGCGGTAAGCAAGAACCATACAGTTGCGGTAAGCAAGAACCATGTAGTTGCGGTAAGCAAGAACCATATAGTTGCGGTAAGCAAGCAAGCTTTTTATGGTAGCATCGGCCTGGAAACTTTCACAAGCACCGTGAACACCACGCCACAGAGCAGGTCGCGCGCGGACGGTAACAACTTTACAACAAAAACGGGATGGCCGCATAGTTTCTAAGGAACAAGTAGCGAGGCATGCCGGAGAACAAAAACACGCGCACAAACGGAAAAAAAAAAAAAACGTGTGAAAAAACATTCGCATACATACGACACTGCTGTTTTCTTTTTGTCGCACTCCCATCCGAGGTAGTCGGAAAAAAAAAAGAAAAGACGGGAACCCTCTCTTACAAACCTTCCAACACCCTCCGCTCTAACCTACGCGTTTGGTTTGACGGGAAACTTCGTCTAAGTTGAAGTGGTTCTACACGAGCGTGCTATGAGAACCCCCCCTTCCCCCCCGCATGTTCTTCGCTCACCCCGCGGAGCCCCATCTTCCCGAGCGTCTTGGCCTGGATCCCCGGGACCTCTTGTTGGCGGCAGATGGTGGTGATCCAGTAGTTGGCCTGCGCGACGAGGTCTGCCTTGCTCCACCCGATGCGCCGCAGGTGTCCGTTGTAGAACCCAAGCCAAGCCTTTCGCAGCGTTGAGAGAAGAACGCAAGGGCGGTTTTCCGGTCTCGTTTAGTATGGTTTGTAGGGGTGCGATGCACAGGAGGTGCCGTCAAAGTACGGACGAACGCACACAGGCGGTGAACTACACACGGCGTCCCCGAAACTGAGACGAAAAAAAAAAAGAACACCCAACCTAAACATGCCCATTGGTCGACATGAAAAAACATCGATTGCTCCACACCCCCAACCAAGGCGGCGCGACACCAGACGGATACGTGCAACGCAAAAAAAGCTCAAAATTACATATTTCCAATAAAACTTTTTCGGCAGTGACAGCCTCTTGGATGTGGAGTAATCAAGCTTTAAAAATCGATCGCACACCCGCGCGTTCACCCGCACGTTTTCGGTGGTTGCTTTTTCTGGTACTGCTGCTGCTGCTGGTGGTGGTGGGTCTGTTCGTCTGGTTGCGAGAGTGCGCTTGAATCGTCAAACGCGAAGGACGTTGTTGTGTGTCGGGCTTCGCGAGAATTTGGCTCGAGAGCCGTTGCTACACACCACCACCACACAAAAACTGAAAAACCAACGACAACTAGAGGAAGCGGAGTAGGAAGATGAAGAGAAGCGCAACGTCGAAATAACAGACGATTGACGACGGTGGTGTGTGTGTCATTCCAGGGCACTTCGTCCAGGTGAGGCAGGACCTTCAGCATCTGACGTCGCCGGGCAACGTCAGATGCTGAAAAGGTGCTACCTCACCGGTACGAAGTGCCCTGGCATGACACACACACCGCCGCCACCAGGAGACCCAGCGCCAACGAATAACCAACAAAGAGAACACACACACAGATGCTAATAACAAAAACACACACGTCTGTCGGTGGGATCCTTGCCCGTTGATTGGAAAGTGTTGGTGTTTTTCATTCCGCCTCAAGACTGTCGCCTCTTCATTCTCATTGGTCACCCGACTGAATAGCACGGTCGATGCTAAAATTAAGAAAACACACACACACACACACACACACACTCCCCCATGACGCCCCCTCACGGGGTCCCAGTTCATGGCATTTACAACTGTATTGTGTGTTTCAACTGCACTGAGACTGACGTCTTTTCAGTGGTCCGCCGGTTAGCGCGGTCGATGCAAATAAGAATTACACGCACACACCTGGTAGGCGCAGACGACCGAAAGGCGGGCCATCTTGTCGTAGGCCTCGCTCACGGCGGGGGTGATCTGGGCCACCGACGCCTTGGGCAGGGGGTCTCGTCTCTGCATGGGCAAGTCCCTCACATCCGACAGGAACATCTGACAAAAAAAAAAGAAAAGGAAAAAGACAAGACAAGACAGAGAATTGAAATAAAAAAAAGCGCGGTGAAAAACAGCAAGGACACCTGGTGGGGGGTGCGGAACTACAAGAATGAATGATATGTCCATGTCACCCGGTCACGGGCGAAGTCATAAAACAAAGGAGTACATAAAAATAGTCTCTACACCGTGCCGTAGTACGACCGGAGAGAGAGAAAGAGAAATCACTCCGTCAGTCCGGGTACATGCTTCGTACTATTTAGAGGCATGATTCTGACAACCTACGCGTTCGGCGCCAACATACAACAGCAATACTGGTGCGAACACAAAAAACGAAGGCAATATACCCTACCACACAATCAGGAAAGAAGAGAACCTCGCCGGAGATGAGATTAAAGAAACAGGAAGAAAGGACACCGAAAAGGTATTGTAGGAACGTACCGACTCGAAGTCGCACAAGAGCAGCACGCCATGACCAGCCTTGCCGGCGCGGGCGGTACGCCCCAGGCGGTGAATGTACTGAGCCTTGTCGGACGGCAGCCCGACCTGATTAAGAGGGCGAAAAAAACACACGGGATATACGCATCGACGGTGACACCAAGACAAGCGCGTGCACATGAGAACAAACGACTAAATGCTTCGAAAAAAACAAGCGGAGATTGGAGTAGCAAGAAACATTGAAACACGCAGAGGAGACAAGAGACAAAAATAAATGGGGTGTTGTTTTGTCGGCCATAAGGCCCGTCTGGCCCCTCTCGAAAGACGCTCAACAGGGGCAGGACGAAGACACACACATGCCCTTTCTGCCCAATTATCGCGCAAAATCTTCTTACACCAGGCCACATACTTGTAAGAAAAAACGACAAAACGGACCCCCATGGTCCCCATTTCTTTTTACTCCTAGGGAATGGCAAGCAGAACAATCTTCTTTTTGGGCGTTGTATGTTGCAAAATAAGAAACAAAAACAAACAAAAAGTGCGGCACACTTTGTCCCTTCCGGCAGACTACAGTACGTCTAGTAGAGCGAAAAAAAAACGCCCAACCAGGTCCTAAAATCACCCCGCATTTTCGATCAGAGTGTGCTACGCTGCTCCAACAGGGGCCAACGCACAATAGGCCCAGTCACAACATCGCAGCATAACTAACTGCCAACACGAGCAAGCAGCTCTCGATTGCGAAGACAGCAGCACTTTCCGTTGCCCCGCTGCCCCATCTGCTGTATGTCAAAACCTTTACCTGTATGACGGCAGACACGTCGGGGTAGTCCATGCCACGGGCTGAGACGTCGCTGGTGAACATGACGAGCCCTTGGCCGTTGCGGAACAACTCGCTGACCTTGTTGCGGTGCCCCTGGCTCTTCCTGGAGTGGATCTCTAGCACCGGGAAGCCCTGGTTCGAAGGCATTTCGTTGAATCGGACAGCAGCAGCAGCAGCAGCAGCAGGGTCAAGGTAGACAAGGGCGACCAACTTATGAATTACTTGTGTGCGCATCATAGGCGCGCCCGGGCGAAGTAGATGCACACGTGTGGTAGTGCATGTGTGCCACGCACATCTAGCTAGCCCTTGGTTCTGGATGTGGTCCAAGGTAGTCGTGCCAGCGCTCTGTTGTTGTTGTTGTTGTTGTTGGCGTCAAACGGTTGTTCAATAATAGTGGTTGTTGGCCTAGTGGGGAGTCGTAAGTCGCACCGTCCTTCTCAGCATGGCATTTATCGACGCATGCGGCGACGTGACAACAGCAGTACTCCACCACCACCACCACCAAAGAGGCGGTATTCCGTTAAACACAAAGAGCAAGTATTCCGTTGACATTGCTGTGTTACTTGGTGCAATGGACACTGCTGTGCCTGTATCATGGGAATACGCAGCTACCGCCAGGTCCGCGTAGTCGTCAAAGGACAACGGTTGGCCACGCCCACAGCAGCCCCTGCGATAACCCACCAGCCCCGACGGCTAGGCGCTCAACTGTGCCGGTCCCATGTGGAAAAAAACAACAACGACGACCTTCCCACAAAACCAAAGCAAGCAAAGCTAATCTTCCCGGCGATTCGTTTCGCCGACTCGGGCGGGCGGGCGGCCGGCTTCGCTCGCTCGGCTCACCATCAGATTGCAGAGCTCGGCGTAGAACTGCGTGAGGCGGGCCGTGGTGAAGAACACGATGATCTTGTGCCCGCGAGGGTCGGCCGCCATGTTCTCACGAAGCAGCTGGCACAGCTCCTCCACCTGGGTCGGTCGCACACATAGAAATAAGTCAACAACAACCACAACGAAATAACAACAGAACACACTAATAAATACAGCGTCACAATCGTGTACTGCTGTACGGTCAGAAAGGTCGTCGACCCGGCGCAGCCACGCTCCCCCTGCCTGGTCGGGTCCAGAGAACACGAAGACGGACGAAACCAGCAAGCCCTGTGGACCGCCTTTGTGAGAAACAAAAGTTCATGAGGACATGGAAACAGGGAGGGGGTACGCAGACGCTACCCCTGACAACCCAAACCCAACTTCCCCCATTGCGTGCTTTACCCAACATGTTTACTTGATGTTAATAGAACAGCCCTCAGCGAAGGCTGCCGGGACAAAGAGCCGTAGCGCGCATGTACCTGCTGGTCCTGCCCGCACACCGTGTACTGCTGCGGCACGTGCTGGTGCGTGCTCTCCTCCTCCCCGACGCAGTCCACGAACTCGTACCTCTCCTTCAGGGCGAGCTGAGCGATCTTGCGCACGTCGCCGGGCATCGTCGCCGAGAAGAGCAGCGTCTGCCGGTCGCGGCTGTGCGGCATGTAGCGCAGGATGGCCTCGATGGCGGGCCGAAAGCCCATCTCCAGGAGCTATGCATATCATAGCGCGACGAACGAGCGCGGCGAAACAAAAGAAAAACGCGCGCGGGGGGGAATCATTTGCCAAAGCAACGGACAGCCGGTCGGCGAAAGGGCGCGTGGTGTGTTTGTTTCTTCGCCTGATCGATCGCCGCTCACAGCTAGCTACACCACGGCACGTACATGGGCGGCAGTCCTTAGACCATTGACCTCGCGGGGGGGGGGGGGCGTACTCTTATGTTTTGCATGCCTTAGCGGTTAGACCATTGACCACGCGTCCTCGAGAGGACGGAGCATTGTTCCCACAGGACCGATCACCGATGGCCAATCGTTCCTTCCTACTTTGCAAAGGTGGATCAAAAATGTCGTCCTTAGTCTGTCTATCCTAACGATATCCCTTCCCGCCGTTTCAAACCACTTCCTACTCCCCAGTACAGCTACCGTCCTCTCCTCTCTATTCCATGCCTCAAACATCTCCCTGTACCTCCCTTGTATTCTCAGTCATGTACACTTCCCTCTCCGTATTGTACAGCCGACATTCCGCCACTACATGAACACGGTCTTCGCATTCGAAGCCGCAATCACATTTGAACTTGTCGTCTACCGTCCTACGTCTTCGTCGACGTTCGCGAAGGCCTATGTCCCCGGTCCTGAATTTGACCTTAAGCTTTGTCCCTGCATCCATTGGTCCATGTAGGCAGTCCTTGAACCCTATTCCTTCTTTCAACATTCCGCACACTTCTAGACCCTCCTTATCCACGGTTTATTTCCCTAGATAATGCTCTTCTCTCTCGGCACAAGCAACAGATATCTTCTCCTTGAACCCCTGTAGACCCTCCGTTTCCAGCGTTTCATCTTCGTCGATGTCTAACCCCTTCCATACTCCTCTACAACCTTGACCCATTCCGTGGGTTGTCTACCCCTCTTTTTGTTTGCCCACTTCGCCTCCCATACTATTCTCGGCAACCTCTTATCTCCCATCCCGCACATGCGATACTGCCATGTCAGCTTACTTGCGTCTCTTCCCAACCGTAGGGATTGGATCCCCAATTCTGCCCTGACGGCTGCATTACTTGTGCGCTTGGAGCATCCTAGGATGATTTTTGCTGCTTTCATCTGCGCCGTCTCGAGTTCTTTCACTTCCTTCTTGTTTCCTTCCCATACTTCTCCGACGTACTCTAGCGGCGGGACGATTACGCTCTTCAAAACCGTCAATTTGATGCGTGTATCGAGGTGCCGGTTTACGAGTATTGGGTGCAGCTTCCCTGCTCGTGCTTTGCCCTTTTCCGCTACCTTGGACATGTGTGCATTCCACGAGCAGTCTTTTGCGATCTCTACTCCGAGGGATGTGTACTGTGTACTGGTCCATAAATGCAGTCTACTCGATCCCCCACTTCTATCTATATTCTACTGGTTCCTCCCTGACCTCGTTGCATACCATGACGGCACTCTTCTTAACATTGGCAGACAATTTCCACTTATCAGTAAACTTTTTCGCCGCGTCAACTTGTAGTTGCAGTTCCTACATGTTGACCCGACATACCAACAAAATCATCGGCAAACAGCATTCCTGACACCGAAGTTTCCGTGTCCCCTACTTTTACTCCCTTCCGGACTGCCTCTACGACTTCCAACAGATCGTTGATGAACACCTGGAACAATGTTGGGGACAGCGTGCAACCTTGTGGGACCCCTTGCTGAAGAATTTAGAAAGTTCTCCGTCTAGCATGACCGCGCTTTTCGTACACTCTGTCATCTTCTTCAGCACTCTCCACATTTTCCCCTTGATCCCGTACTTGGACAATTGTTTCCACAGCCCATTTCTCCATACGGTATCGTATGCCTTTTTCACGTCCAGGAAGAAGCAGTACGTCGGCTTTCCCGCCCTCTTTCTACCTTGGATGATTCTCCCTACCGTGAATGCGTAGTCTACGCACCCCCTCTTCTTTCGGAAACCTGCCTGGCCCTCACTAATGCTATTTTCCTCCTCCAATACTCCCACTATCCTATCGTTCAGCAGCTTACAGAACACTTTTCCTACTGTGTTCAACAGAGTGATCTCCCTGTAGCTTCCTGGGTCAGTCTTGTCTCCTTTCTAAACAAGTTCACAACCACTCCTTCCCCCCATCTACTTGGCGCATACTCGTTTTTCCACACCCAGTTGTACAGCAGTACCATCAACTGGATCATCCCCTTCCCCCCAAACTTCATGAACTCGTTGCCTATCCCATCCGCCCCTGCTGCTTTGTGGCACTGCAGCTTGTTCACACACGCCTCAACCTCGTCCTCAGTGAACTCCTTTTCTAGTTCTACGTTGCCAACGTCTGCCTTCGATGTCTCTTCTTCTTTCTGGTGGTGGTGGTGGTGGTGGTGGGGGTTATCCACCATGTTCCGAGGACTTACAACACACGCCGAGCAGCAGCGAGACTCTCTCGCCCCCCCCCCTCC